CCCTTCAGGGCAAGAGTGATGTCGCGCCGGTGCCATAAATGGCGAAGGTTAGCAAAAACGCCTCGAACTTTTGCTATGCGGTTCGTGATCTCGTCTTCGATCCCAACTACGCTGATACAACTTCCCAGGTAATTGAAATTTTCAACGACTTCTAGCTGATCCCCACCAAGGGTCAGCGTTGGAGGCGGTCCAGACCAATTTTGGAGGAACGCTTTGCACTTGGGTGGTGCAAAGCAAAGCCCGAAGCGGCTGACAGGCAGTGCTAATCTGTCCAGTGCGGCTTGGCACGTCTGGGAGTTGTCACAGATTAGGGCAATATCGTCAGCATACTTTAAGCCAAGAAGTCGTTCTCCTGGACGTAGCTCCACACCTTCTAAGTCGTGTCCTGTGAACACGATTTCCATGACTTCGTCAGTAGCGAAGTTGAAGTGGAAAGCTGACAGCGTGCGTCCTTGTCTTACACCGCTGGAGATATTAAAGGGCGACGACAGCTTGCCGTAAGCCCTCACTCTGCCTGAGGTACGCGCATATAATGCTCGGATAATATTCACCTTTCCTGAGTAGACAGTCTCAAAGTGCATGTCTATCCACCGAATCCAATGCACCTTTGATATCGAGGAACACGACAACGATGGGTCGCCAATAAACAAGGCGATGCTCCAACAACTGACGGAAGGTGAAGATGTGATCGATACAGCCACGATTTCGACGAAACCCAGCTTGCTCTTCGCGGATCTGATCTTCACGAGCGGCAGTCAGTCTGTGGAGAACGACAGAGGCATGCGATTTGGAGGCGATAGAGATCAGACTGATTCATCTATGGTTGCCGCATTCCGATCGTGAGCCTCCCTTGAAAATTGGGACTATGACGGAGCAGTTCCAATCGGTTGGGACAGTTTTCTGCTCCCAGTTTCATTAGTAACTCGTATAAATCATCCAAAGAGCAGTTCTCCTGAATTTAAAGTGGGATGGAGGAAGATCATCTGGTCCCGCGGATTTATTTACCTTTAACAGTGCAATCTCACTTTCGACTTCTGAGCTAGAGGGTGGATCCAAAGGGCCAGACCAGGGAGCGGGGCGATCAGTGGCCGACGAGAAATCTAAAAATCCCGACCGATTAAATTGCCTTTCAAAGTGTTCAGCCCAACGCTCTAAGCGTTTTGACAGGTTGTTTATAGGCTGTTCACTCTCGTCATGTATAGTTTCACTAACACCAGGTCTCCTGCTGCCCGTTTCTCGTATCAGACGGAATAACTTACGAAGGTTACCAAGGGCAGCGACCATTTCCATCTCTGATGCACCATGAGACCACCAGGATTCGCGGTCTCTATTCAGGCTAGCACGGAGTTTTGCCCGGAGCTCTTTGCGAGTTTCATTGTGTTCGTTTTCTACCGGGATATGTCGGCGAGCATTGATCTGTTCCAGTGACTGCGAAAAGACCCAATGTCCATGTTGGCGATTAGACATACCACATGAGGATTTTTCTGCTGCTAGTAAGGTCTGGTGAATATGAGACCATTGAACCTTTATTCAACTCGCATGACAGCGTACTTTGATAGGCATTCAGAACAGCTGGCTTCGCCAGTTGGCTGGTGTCAACGCGCTCACAACGTCTTCTTGGGCGTCCGCCAAAACGCATCCGCATGTCAGCACATACAGTTGCATGGTCGGTGTCCACACTTGTTCTCCAAATTGAGCGAGAGTTCTGGATGCAGCCTCTCCAGCGGTAACTAATAGCAATGTGATCAATTTGCGTCCGAGGCTGGTTCGAGGCTGGTGGGCGCCAAGTCACCCTCCGGCGGGTGCTGTGTCTGAAATTATTGCTCGCAAGAAGTAAGCGTGCATCTTCACACAAATGAAGTAATTGCTCACCGTTATCATTACGGGAGCCTACACCATGTTGGCCGCCCAGATGCAGCTCATCTGTGGATAATTTTCCAACTTGAGCGTTCAGACCCCCAGCCGACGGATAGTATCATCAGTGATCCAGTCCTTCACAGGCTTGGAGGTAGAGCCCAGGGTAGATAAAGTGGCGCGTTGAACTGATGATTTTAGCTTAGACGAACGAGCGTCTACCTATTCGTCTTCTGCAAGTACGAGACGTGGTGCACTGGCAGAAATTTTCGCTTCTATTGTTGCCTCCGCTGATCGGAAACAGTCAGTATTTCCCAGTGGAGCAATGTTGATATTCTTTAGTGGAAGGGTCTTTCGGGGCGTTGTCAAGCGTAGTCTAAATTTGGCGCGCAGGAGTAGGTGATCCGAACCACCTTTATTGTCCGTTTCAGCTCCTCTGTGCGCTCGACGCTCATCGATGGAGGACATCCACCTGGATCGGTTTAAGCTGTGACCTGTCTGACTGGTTGTACGACCATCGTTGGATTACCACATCAGAAGATGGTTCCGGGGATACTGGAAGCAAGTATTGCTTACGATCAACCGGTTAAGATCAGCGAAGCTGAGTAAGTGGTCTCCATTACCATAGCGCTCTCCAAGAGCGTATCTCTCGAGTATTTGACGGGTTTGCTCGTTCCTAGGACCGGTTCGTGCATTCCAGTCTCCAACGATTTTGAGGATGTCGCGTTTTGGAACCTAGTTCACCACTGTCTGTAGAGTACCGTAAAATTGGTCTTTGTCACTTTCCGCTGAGCGTAGGGTTGGTACGTAGACAGAGCTTATGGTCAGATTCATCGGGTGATCTTTGAAGCGTGCAACTGTTATTCCATGAAAGTAGAGTGTTGTGTGCCTAACAACTGATAGCCATGGCGACCCCTTGATTGCCAAAATTATCTTCCGGCCCACTGTGGTAAAGCCAGTATGAGGTGTCTGCACCAAGGATTTTGATTTGTCTAGAGCCATAGCCAAGTATTCGAGATTCTGACGGGCATGCTATGTCGATCTGGTAGTGGTGTAGTGTGCGCATGTTCAACGCTTGGTTGCCAACATCCAACAGGGTTCTGATATTCCAGTATTCAATGAATAGTGGCTTCCGGGGATTGATGGCCCCAGCTAGCTTACTTGTCACGCTGGCCATTGGGTAAGCGCAAAATGCCTCGCCTGCCGGGAACGCCGTAGCATGAGAATAATCTCAGGTAACGGACATGTCATAAAGTTTTTTGGGGGTTATGGGTACGTATGAGGATCCCAACCTCATCCGGCTTTCGTTCGAGGGTTCACCTCTGGCCTTTGCACAGTCAAATGCTACCTGCAAGTCAGCAGGGATCTGGGAAATTGTCTTAACTTCTGGCCGTTGGATCGGAGGTCGATCTCTTCCGCCCAGTTGTCAGGACTGACGTTGCACGCAAGTACCAACTCACCGTTAATGGTATTTTCGAGTACCCTCACCTGGTTTAACCCGCCTCCCTGACGGTTGACCGGGATGCCGCCGCTGCCGCCTGCAAGCAACTCCTTGGAGCCACAGGTGGGTGACAGATGGAGATCAAAGATTGGCGGACTACCTTGGAGGGTAAGGCAGGTCCCCTACCAGAGGTGCTACTTTTCCCTGGCATTCCGGACGCCCTCTTTTATGGACGGGTTCCCTTAGCAGTCCCCAGGAGGTGTACAAGGTACCTTTGGTCCGACCTATATAATAATATGCGCACAGATGCATCTTTCCGTTTGGCTTTTTGACAACCGCTATAGGGACTGTCCATGATGAGTAATTGGTCGGTTCGATAACTCCCGCTTACTGTAGCCTCCCAACTTCTTGCTCGGCAACTAAAACTGCTTCGTGTAACCGTCTGCTCTGCGTCTGACCTCAAGAAGGAATTTTTCTTGGTTTTCATGCACAATCCACAACCATCCTTAAACACTTGTGGATTCTTCCTCTGCATACTCCCCGTCCGGTTCACAACTGTACAGTCTAGTTTCTTACACACTGATTTTGAGGGGGCGTCAAGTGGTTTCATCTTATCCATCTGCTCTATACCGAGTAAGTTCATTTAAGGGTGTCTTGTTGCTTGGCAGATCCCTTCCAACTGTCAGTAGATTTCATCGGCCAACTTCAACACTCCTTTTGAAGCGTTGGCTGCAACCCGATGTGTTCCCTGGATACGTGCTTCCCCGATTTGACCGTGGTATCCGCGTCAGTGTCAATGTGGAAGCGCACAGGCACTTGGTTCACAGCCATTGTAACGGACCTGCGCTTTGCGGCATTTGTATTAAAGGTTACAAAAACAGGATAAGGCTGAGCTCTTTATTGTGTGTATACAAACGTGCTGAAGTACTTGATGGAGGTGTTACTCTTGAGGATAACAGGACGGTAATGATCCTCCTTGTATCCCTGTTCGTTTGCATTTCTGGCAACGATGTTTCTCGGACGATGTGGAAGTTGACGATGTCGTGAAATCTGGGATTTTTTACTCCATCAGACCTCGGGCGATGTTTTTAGAATTCTGCTTACCGCTACCTGCATCTGTTCGGGGTCTGGCCTTCTGACTGTCGATAAAAGGCTCCCAATCTTGCTGGTTCGCCGTTGTCTTAGATGAATCATGCCAATATTCATGCTTCCCACATCCCTTCTCCAAAGTGGACAGTTTGTGTACCTCTTGTTCACCTGTTTTACCTGTTATCCTTACTACTATTGTTTTTCAACCCCATTCCGAACTACGCTCTAGGTTAACTGATATATCTGGTGAATCGATCTTGTGTCCACCCATGCCGGTCATCAGCCGTTCCGGGGCCGTTTAACTCATCGTGCTTTAATTAACTGGCCCGGTGGCGGTTATGGAATCCTTAGTCTACTACTCCAATGGCTCCATAGGAGATGTCATTCACTTTTCCATGTTACTCCATTCTGATTTACCCTATGAACGTCACTTCCTGCCTAGGTTTTTAATCAGTTTCCTTCTTCATCCCTCCTCAATTGATCTGGTTATCTTGCAATTTTTAAGGACGACAGTCTGTCAGTGCAATCTATGGGTCTATTGATGTTCATATTAGCAAAGCAACTCTCCCTATTGTATGTTTTATAAACTCCTGGTCTGTTGACCCCTTCTTTCCAGCGACCTTTTGCTTGCTCATGTGGAAAGGCTTATGCTCGGGGGCAGCATTTGCGTCGTCATCAGGTGTCCTGTTCTCGGCATTTGAATGCATCGAAGACTCACGTGAATGGCAACGCCGACGGTGAAAGTGTTATCCAACCTCCTGTCAAGAAAAGCTATTTCTGCCCAGACTGTGAGGCTGGTCCCTTTCGGCAGAAGAAGATGGTTTGGGCCCATGTAGCCATCGTGCATCGGTGAGGCATGTTCTACATGTCTGCTTTTTTGTTTTCGCTTTCCATGCCGTATTTTCACTTTGGCTATCATATATGCTCTTCCCTTCCTTTTTATCCACGATCCATCGTTTAGAAAGTATATCCAAGAACTCAGACTAGGTTCATGCGTAAGAATACTGGCAGGTAGGTCTCATCTGATCTGTCCTCCCACATTAGCTAACAACTATTCGCTGGTTCCACCCTCTTCTCGCACAATTCTCTACTTAACACCACGCACTGCCTCTACTTCCCAGCGTCGAGTCGCAGCCACGTTATTTCTATCGGATGAATACTGAATGGAAGCAACAAGTAGAGGTATATCAGTGCAGCTGCAGCCATAATACTTCAAGGACAATCTGGAGGGCATCCCCTATAGTTCATGTCCGCAAAGTGCTTGTCCAGGGATTTCTTGAATTCTAACACCGACTTTGCCTCGACTACATGCGGCGACAAGTTGTTCCATTTATTCACTACTCTTCCTTCAAAGCAGAGTTGATGGGCGATTCGCTTCACATCCGGTACTACAAGCTTGTACCTGTCTTATTGTGTACTGCTTGGTGTGCGCATATGAAGCAGAGCCTCAAGATGGGGTTATCACCAAGATGTAATGTCCCGTGCGTCATAATGAGGTCAATTCACACTCTACTATAAGACAGGGTTTAAAGTCTTAACCTTCTGCACGTGTCTTCGTAGGGCGCACCTCTTAAGGTGGGGATGATCCTGGTGATGGGATATCGATAATGACTTATGGATCAGCTTGTTGATTCTGTCAGGCCCTGCAAGCTTGCTTCCGTCAGGACTGACAATCCTGTCCGCATTTGGCTCAATGCTTTCAATGATTTTCTCTGAATTCCGGCAACTTCATCGGCCTTTCGTATATTTGTGTCATGTGTGGTGACGGCTGATAACGTCATAAACAATAGCTCCTGCGCTATATATGATGGTGAAATCCTATCGCACAAATGCTCTTGGAGCAATTAGATGAAAGCTCAGTGGATGTTCATCCTGACAGACTTGCTTGACGTTGGGTTTAGACAGCTTCTCATTTACCAGTTAGGTGAATTTTTTATCATCACCGCGCTTGGCTTGTGGGGGAAACACTCCCGCTATCGTGTCGGAACACAATTCAATTTTGTGATGCTAGTAAATGAAAGAGAAGTAAATGACAAAAACGGAACAAAAGTTGCTGCATGCTTTATTTTATGTAGTAGAATCATTTGATACGACTCCCAATAAAGTCTATGGAAATTCGGTAGTGGGCCAAGACATCATCTGAGTGGACACACGTGTGGTCGAAAACTAGCGGCACACAACTACGGAACCATGTCACCTGAAGCTTTCACGACATGGTAACTTTGGGTTCATCTGTAGTCAATTGCCAGAAGACACCGAATGGCTTCTAGGTCCCCATGCTATTTGATTAGAAGCACCTGACGGTCGGCCCACGGTTGTAACAACCGTGCACCACTATCCATACACTGAAGCTCGGTTCGGTACACCTCTCGTAGCTGATTGACTGAAGAGTCTGGACCGTCTACTACTATCGCATACAGTTAGAGCTACATCTTAGCTGTTAGCTTGTTCGCTTCATGGTAACGATTGTCTAGTAGCATGGGACTATAGTCGGTTGAGGCATATGCAAGTAAAATGAGCAAACCGCACCCCATGCTGTTCAGTGCGCTAACCCTTTTTGACGTTATCAAGTCCAATCAGCCAACCTGGAATCATTTCTGGGGCTGAGTAATCGCACCTCTGGTACGCTAGCTGACGGGTTACTCGACTCTCTTGCTCTTGATTATCTATACTCGTTGCATTTTTCTATGCTTATTTATTTTTATACACGTCCTATCCTAAACCATTCATACGGATTCCTCTTCCCGAAAGTGAACGAAGGCACGTGTGTGAACAGTGTCCTAAGGCTTTTCCGACCAAGTCGAAACTTGCTCGTCATTCCGCCAAACATCATGGGTTCACTTGTTCCAAATGTGTCTCCGCTTCCACCGTTACTAGCGACGCTGCTTCCATAATTGAGTTCCTCCCAAAGTTTGACACTTTCGCCGCTCTCAGACGTCATATCGCCCTTGTTCACCCCAAACCGAGTGAGTTATTCCTAACCATCAATGTGGAAACTTAGTCTGATCCACAAATACTTTCCTTCGTACTAGGTTGCTTTCATTCGATATCCGGCTTTTTCCCCACATTCATCACAAATCTAACCTCATCACGGTTTACTGCTGCAGCCTATCCGTCCAGTTTGTATACTATTAGTGGTCTGCCAATCTGGAACGCTTATCCCACGGCGACCGGGCTGTTAGCAAAGCTTTACTTGCATCATGAATTGCCACGCATATTCACCACACGTCCACTTCCATGCTCTTTGGCAACGATGTTTTCTTTTTTATACACAATTTCTTCATACTTACACCCTCCATATTTAATTACAGAAGTAATTTGTTGCTACGTTTCATGTGATTCACTCCCAACGCAGCACTCGATGACCCGTTTCGTCCTTCTTTGAACTCATGGAAAGAATCGGAACTGGGAAGGAAACACCGGACATATTAACTGACAGTTGACACTCTGTTCACTTGGTCTGCCACCAAATGCAGGGTTTTCAACGAACAGCACCAGAATCTCACTATTTCGGATGCGATCCCAGTACTCGGATTGACCAAACTTTGCTTTGAAGTAAACCGCACTTCCAATTAGAATTGTTCGCCTCAATGCAGTGATCCTCGTTCCGGTCTGCTTCAAGATACGGCCACCCATGCAACACTCCGGTCCAGCCGTACTCTGGAGTCCATCGATATTGATAGCTACCGTCTTTCCGAAACCCGATTGCTATGCTTATGCTGACATTCTTATTAATCACGGAGTCACATATCACTTGGGTCTTTCGGGTGACCCAGGAGCATCCCCAGTGGGTGTGAGCTAGTCTACATGTAGCATTAAGTGGCAAGGCTGAAGCCACACTGTTGGACTGGTTCCCGGTTAACAGCCGGCAGTTCCATTTCGGGATTCATGTAAAATCAACAGGCATCGCAAATTGTTTGCGATCTCAGCGTGCGTTCCAACTGACTGCCCTTGTGACTCGGTTGAGATGGCTCGAAACAAGAGCTTTGCATACTTTCTCCAATACGTGAGTCATACTACCATGAAAAGCAAGCTGGTTTCCGTCCC